CTATTATATTTAACCTTTATATTTATATTACACCTGTATTTTATATAATACATATACATATAGAATTAATCCCATTTTATTTTTCAATTCATTCATTTTTAAGACAATGTATAACTAACATTTGTTTGTTGTATATTCTCCACTATTATCAATGGATAATCTGATTGTTAGTTCTGCTACGATGAGTCATATAATTTTCTTAGGAATAATAAGATCATTTTGCACCGCAAGTAAAAGTTTATTTATGATTGAAACCAATATTATTAAAATTGTTATTAAGTGAACGTAGAAATTTCGTGAGTGGAAAATTTCATCGAGTGGTTCCTTCTTCCTACATGAGATTATCCGACTTCGCTACAAAGAAGGGAACCAAATTTTTGAGTACCCATGGAAGCGGTTACTGCTCCAAACGTTAGTGGAATGAATATATTAGTTTTACGTTGGTATTTGAAATTTTAATTCCGACCGTTTTTAGCTGGCTTCATTTTAGTGGAACCATCGGAATACATTTTGGTAAAATTATAGACGAGCTGAATTTTTATATTGCCTAAGTGGAAGCAATTAGCATTCCAAATATTAGTTCACTTCGTCGTTAACTGTGTCCATTCATAATTCCCCTCTGTAAATTGTTACCCTACAATATCGGAACTTGAATATTTAAATCTTCCTACATTTTCTTTGTTATGAAATTATGAATCTTTACAAATTTCCAATCGTAATAATTAGAAACTAATATTCACAATATCGTTTGGCATTTGTTCAATATTGTTCTTCCACTAAATTGTATTGAATTCTAAATTCAAAGTACAGGGAAAAATGAAGGTTGAGTACTTAATACATTTGACAAAAAAAACTGAAGTTCTGATTAATGTCTCAGAACTCCATCGTAACGAATTCCTTTTACAGTAAAGGTTCCATGAGAGTTGGATATAAAGTTCCTCGTGAGAGTTTCTACTTCAACCCCACCACTGGAGAGAGGGAAGGCGTGGAATCCGTCAAACGCATACTCTGTTGCCCCCCCCCCCCTGCTTTTGTTGCCGAGACTCGGACTTCGGGCAAAAAAACTTTGCGAAGTATTGAAACGATTCTCGGTGCGAATTTTATACTGTACTATAAACTTCAACGTAATAAGAGCGCAAGACAAAGACAAGATCGAGAAAAAGAAGAATCACGGAAAAGCATTTTCCTCGTCGGCGACCCGCCTGGACACGCGTATATCCACGGAATGAATTAATATCGCACGGATTGAGACACGGAGTCCCTTTCCTCTACGTGGATCGGCAAATAAGCGTTTTACACGATAATTCCGGCGCATATAAGTGGGTGGGGCGAGCAGGAGGGCGGAGTAGGAGGGGAGGAGAAAGGCGCGCGGGAACGACGATAGCGAGAGGCGACGCGATCGACAGAGAATGGGAGCGGCTCCGTAATTAAGTAGTGGAGGTTATATAATGAAGTTCGCCTTCCTCGAACGACGATCGATTTCATTAATTATGCGAAATACCGCGGGTTGCTCTGGTTACAGGTCGCACTGAAAGCTCTCGCGGAAGTGCTCCCGGTAAGACGGAGGGGAAAAAACGAGGAAAAAGGAGAGAGTTCCGAATGGCGGGGCAATATGGCGCCCCTCCTCCTCTCACCAAAGTGGGAGGGGGATGGGAAAAGAACCAAGGGGGGCGGGGATAAAGGAACTCGCGATTCGGCGGAAATGAAAAGAACTGGCTACCCCTAATTAACTTATTCGATCGGACCGCGTTAATTAATGCATGCCGAACGTAGAAGCAATGCAATTCAATTAACGTGAAACCAACTGCCGATACGAATTGTGCCGCGATATTCAGCGGGAACACACGAGATACGTATGAGTGAACGGATCCCCGATAACGGGGAAATTATATTTCGTTTTTTTTTTTTTTTTTTTTTCAGACGCGACGATTCTGTCGCGGCGAGATATTTCATGCTTGATTTCACTCGTTTACTCGAGATTAATTGTTTAGCGGGAAATGAGAGGATTTTACACGGTGCTTGAGAGAATGGGAGATTGCTACTATTAACGGTTCTGCTATGTCAACCATACACAAAAAGGAACAAATGTTGCATCTTTTTGTATCTTGTACAAACATTCTGTTTTCATAAAATCAAGAATCGGTAGTCATTGTAAGACTACTTACAACATTTGTTTAAATATTTTTTTGGAAACAATATTTTCGCACGCAATAGTTTAACACAATAATTAACGAACATAGCACATTAACACAGTTTTTCCAATATAATGTCGATTTTCGGAATCTTTGATCATTCTAAATACCGATGATCGGAACACTGATTTAGTGACGAATGTTTTATGAACGAATTACGGGAAAATCTATTATTTTAAAAAATTATCAAAAAAAAAAATGTTTAACCCGCTCATTGAATATTTTTGGTACCCTGTACAAAAAATTTTTATAAATCCGTGATTGAACAAAATACATCTATATTTAACGCAACTTCCTGAAAATTATTCGAGAACACTTAAACATCACTCAAAAATTCTCCATCTAGTGAAAATCTTTTTATTTTCATGAAGCAAACAATCAATGAGAGAAGTAATTGTTTATTTCAGCGAATATTAAAGTTAAACCCATTTAAGTATTCCTTTTAACGCATCCCCATAAGTAATCGATATTCACGAGAAAAAGTGTACTCGAAAGCTACGAGAACACGGTCGTAAATTCAAGCGCCTACTTTATCGGGCGATATTCACCGTAGAGGAATTATTTACCTGTTTTAATGATTTGAGGCGCGACGAGGAAGGCGACGTTGCGTCGGTGGTGGTATTAAGGGTGTTGATTTACTACGGGCAAGAGTGAGGTCGTTAAGTCTGGGTTATTAAGTACAGCAATATCCGACGGTGAAATATTAATGATATTGACGGTCCTTCATGATCGGTCGAGGGGCGTCAGAAGACGGGGGTTGAAGAATAACGACGCCATACTGTGAAAGGTAACTGTATCACGTGGTGGTCTGTGCCTCAGATTTAAAGTACACATTTTACGCGGAGATTTTCTGTAGAAATCGTCCGCAATAAACTATGAAAATCGTAAAACTTTAGTCACGATAGTACTCTGGTAATAATACAGTTAAAGTTTCACAAATAAAAATTGTTATGTAGACATATTGCGATAAATATACAAAAATTATAAAGTGATTGGTGGTATAACCTGGTAGGCGATCATGCTACGTGAAAAAGTAAATCAAAAGTACAGAATGCAATTTTTTCATTTCAGACTTTGTTTTCGTGATAATCGAATTTAAAACTCTGCTGGATAGGACTTGGCTGACTTGTCTGCTCATAACATTCCGTTTCTACTTAGTGCTAGCAGATAGAGGATTCGGCCGAATAATATACAAAAGCGGGCACCACGTGACTCCTTACGAAAAAAATAAGGAATATACATGGAATAAAATTTTGTCATTCTCGGCTTAGTTTTTGATAAAATCGAAATTAAAAATTAATCTGAAACACGTGTATTCTTTATGGTAGTAAGTAGAAACGGAATGCAACGATCAGACGCGCTAGCCAGGTCCTATTCCATTGCACTCTTAAAGTCGATTTTTTCGAACACAATATACAAACGTATCTCAAAGGACTTTAAAAAATTTTTTTAACTGTTTATTCTAAAACTTTTTGGAATATAGTGTACACATCTTTTCAATACATCATAACTGTTGAACTAACAAACCGATCAAAATGATCTTTGTGGATGCTTATAGAGGAGACATAAAACCTAATAAAAATTATTTCAGTAAAAAGAATATTTTTTAACCATTTATTTTGCAATTGTTTTAATGAAATGCAATTTTATAATACCGGAGCACTACTTAAAAATTTGAAATTTTCAAAAATCCTTCGAGATACAATAATATATCACTAAAGACTACAACATATCCAAATGTCAAGAAAATCCGAAATGTTACTCCAAAAAGTATCCGATCTCTCGTGCAATACCCCAATAGTAAATATTGTAACTTGTTAAAGATATTCTATTTACTTAATTTGTATAGTGTTGAAGGCTGGTGTGATCGCAGCCGCCATATGATATTCATCAGATAAATAAACAATGTGCTAATGACCATCAGAACGGACAATATTCATATCGGATTTACGGGGATACACGGCTCCGATGAAAGCGGTTTGCGGCAAAAGTTGTGTGATCGCTCGATACAGTTCTATAAAAGGATCATTCGTATAAGCTTTCGCGGGCGTTCGATGTGAACCTTTGTTTCTCCCATTTTTCACGATACGATCGTCGAACGCTTAGACCGCGTCACCTCTACAACGGCAACACCATCCCGTAAGAGGATTAGTCCCCTGTGTGTACTGTTCGTATAGTAGTGCATTCGTCTAAAAGCAGAACGGGTGCAGTATCGTCGATCAAAGAGCAAGAACTGGAATTTCTGGATGCAAATCACTCTGTCAATCTCCTTTTTACTTTTCACCCGAAACACAACGTATATATTTCCAAACAGAAACTATAAAATAAAGTTTAGGACCAAGACTATCGAAACGATAGAAGTAAGTTTCGGTATAAACAAATAGTGACAAATAAATGTTCATCATAGTGGACAAAAGGGGGTTTTTCGTTAATAAAAAGAACAAACAGTTCTTCGTTAATATCTCGTTGACAAAGCCTCGAAGAACTTTTTTTGCCGAGGAGAAAGTTTTTTCATATCAGCTCAGGAATCACCCCTTTCAAGGACTTACACCTATTTTGGGATACCCTACATAGTGGACTGATTTTGTTACTTTAATAATGCATAACAATACATACAAGCAGTCACGTGACTACAATTATAATTCCCACATTGTATTTTTGCAATCTTCTTCACTCTCTACAACATTCTCCTTACAATCTTCATTTTGTCTCCCAATATTCACCAAAGCCATCTAATAGCCCCACACTCGACCAAGCCAAACGATTCTCCAAAACGTCTAATCTAATCGAACAAACCTTTCATTCCAGAACCCAGTCGCGACAGCCTTCGAGATCTTCTGGATGATCTTCGAGCCGATTCTATTCGCGGTGACCGGCGCCCAGATCAGGATCGACGAGCTCGATGGAAAGACGGTTTATCTAGGTCTGGCTTGTCTGTTGTCTGGTATCGTGATCCGTATTATCGCGACGATTCTTGTCGGTGTCGGTTCGAAGCTGAACTTAAAGGAAAAGATCTTTATCGCCTTTTCCTGGATGGCAAAGGCGACCGTCCAGGCGGCCCTGGCCCCAACCACATTGGACAAAGTAGACCCTAACGACCCAGAACAGGTGTTCTACGCTGAAACAGTGGTGACCATGTGCGTACTGTCGATTTTGCTAACCGCTCCAGCCGGGGCCATCATCATCACCCTGTCGGGGCCGAAGCTACTGACAAAGACCACGACACCAGTCACGCCTCCAGAAGGCTGGAAGACGCGAAGACCCTCTATCCGCGACATTTCCATCATCAACGAGGACCCAGACCTCGAGGATACCGCGAACGAAAGGAAGCCTTGAAGCTGTTCTTGTCCAAGTGATCCCTAATTTCTTCTAATATCCTCTAACATACATTGGCGAGACAAGACTCCGAGAATCTCCATCGCATGCTTCTGAGGTTTCCTTTTTTATTCTCTTATTCGGAATGCTGGTTTCTAACCGTGGAACTTTGGTAACCTGACAGTTCGAAATTGTTTGAAACTATGCAGATTTTTAGGAGACCTCAACAGACGTATCAGGCAATGTTTTTGTTGCGATACTTTTGGGTTTTTCATCGTGAAAACATCCCTTAAATGTTAATCTGTGTTTTCCTGTTTTCCTGTATATCTTGAAAACTATCGTAGATACAAAAAACTTATTGCGCTGAAAATTTAATACCTTGTTATGTTATATGAGCCTGCGCAATGGTATTGTTAAAAATTTGTTATTTAAGTAAATAAATAAGTCACCGAACAAATTTTTAGCAATTTCAAGGCACAGTTTCAAGGAACATAAAAATCTATTCATTTTTTGTTCTGACAAGTTTTTCATATCTACTTTAATTTTCAAGATATACAGGGCAATAGGAAAATACATTATAACGTTTGAAGGCTGTTTTCAGCCTGAAGAAAAGGTACCAAATAAAAATTGTCTGATACTTCTTTTGAGGTCCCCTACAAACCTGCAACATTTCAAACAATCTTCGGGTTATCGAAGTTTCCGTATAACATTCGGGCCTGGTTGATACGGTACCGAGGAAGATCGCGATGGGGACTCGATCGCGAGCGTGTTGTCGGAGTATCGCGTTATTCTAGAATATAATTCGCGGATAGTTTCAATGACCAATGTTAATGTTCCTATTCCTGGTCGAGAAAGTGTTTTCGGAGTATATCACGCGAATCAATTTTCGTTGGCAAAGATTTTCAAATATTAAAGACTTGTATCAAGTTATAATCATTTATGATCAGTTACTTCGGGTATTTAGATTGTTGCGCCTGTTAAGTGATTCAAATTGATGATACATATTAGTAATACCAGTTAAAAACAATTAAGGGCCTAAAATAAGGTTTACTTTATCTTAACAAAAAAACATTTCATCGATAACGACTTTCAATGACATTATGAAACTTTTCTTGGCTAGTTAATGTGGATCCTGAGGAACATAAAAGAGGCAGTGGTGTCTACGGTCCGGAGCTTATGCTCAGTCGCTTACTTTTTCCTGGTAGTATAGTACAAGTCGACTGCCGCCCAACACGAACGTTTCTCCTAAGGTAACAGTGTGTGACAATTTTAATCTATTCGTTATTACTAGACTGCCGATTTTTATCCAGAATACAATTTTAGAAAGTAATTCATAAAGACAAGAACAGAGGTAGGACGTTCTTTGTTCCCTTAAGTATCTTATTGGATTAAGAAGAAAATGGAAAAGTGGTTGAATCTGATGAAAGTTTTACCGTTCATTCCATTTCACAGAGCTCTATAGGCCATAATTCCATAAAATCCGCAGTCTAGTTATTACTAATGAAGTATCTTAACGCTATGACGACTGATGACGACACAGTGACGTCATGTAACTGCTAACTGTTAGTGGCCGATGACGCGATACTGAAGTCATCTGAGTGTCAACTGGTAGTTTTTAGTTATTCAAAGTTATTGAATCCTTTTTACATACATGGCAAAATCCATATTTTGTTAACTCTTGACGGAACCAACCACTCAGTGGTGGAAGTTACTCTCGAAACTAGCCGGTCGTCATAGTGTCCAGAACGTTTCGCTAAAGAGATGTCTTATGAGAAGACCTATTGATTATGAGAAGTCCTATTGTCTGGATGGAAGATCTTGCCTAAGTAAAAGAGGTTGGAATTCATTCATTCATAATTCGCTGCGTTTTTTGCCAAAAGTGTTGAACAATGAAGTAACTGTAAACTGTTACGTCGTTTGGAGTAGAAAATACGGTCACTGGAATTGGTTTTTAAAATTTTAGAACTGATTTGGGTCTGATTATGCCTGGGTCTAGATTTAGAACTCGATCTAGGTGTAGAAATCTACGTTCGAATTATAGCCAGTGTCTGAACTTATAAATAGATCTAGGTCTAAACTTCAAACTAGATCTAAATCCAGATCCAGATTCAGCTATTTTTGTACATCTGAGTCTACACATAGAACTAACTGTACGTCTGAAGTGTAAGTCTATGTTTAGATCCATATCAATATCTACATAGAATGGTGTACAAATTGCGAATCGGTTCGTTCAAAATGAACTATCTTTCTGACGAGATAAATCGTTCAAAATGACAGATGATAATCTGTTTCATAGCCATGATACACATTACGTGGTAACTGTGAAGAGCCATCGGGTTAATATAATTTTCTTTAGACAATTAGTGAATCTTCGCTACACGTTGTTATAAATGAAAAAGAGAAAACTGTAAAAGACTGCAGCTGTTTGATATGAAGATGTGACTGGTGTGTAATGAAAATTATAATGACAATTTTCGAATATTGTATTTTATGTAAATCCTAATGCTCTAATATCGTATTTGCAAATTTACCAGATTTACAAACAAGAAGTTACAAAACGTTATTCGAGTAATAATGATGTTAAACTAGCCATGTCATTACAAACAGTGCCTTTTGCAAAAGACTTAAAAAATGATTTAAAAAAGTACGAATGTATACATTTGTATATAACATGCAGTGCACTTATTTTTTAGAAGATCTGTACAAAAAAGCAACCAAATTTTTAAGCATATTTAATAATCCTTTCGCTACGATGAATCCTATTAAATTCATCGAGCAAAGGAAAGGATAATAATTATACGATGAATTATAATATTTATGAGACATTGGATTATATATACATGTGAATGTCCTTTCACGATTTTGCAAGAATGCATTAAGATATCTTGTAAGAAAATATGTGTGTAAGTTCCTTATTTTAACGTAAATGTATCGAGCTCACTTAAATTCAAACTTTTCTTGTGTTCGATGGTAAAACTATTGTTGCGTATTAAAAGTATGAAATAATTTCCGAACGACTAGGACAAATATAATATTGTTCAAATATTAATTGATATTGCCTTTGGTCGTTTATCGATCGTGAACATCTCGGCGGGAACTTGCATTAATTTTATGCATCATGCAAACGTTGCATACTTTTATTTTTATTGTAAAATTGTTCTGGAACTGCTTGTTGTAATTGAGAAACGTGACGTACGAGTGAATGTGAATATTTGTACATAATCTGTGCCTGTATAATTAGCCATGAATAAGAGAGTGCGAGAATAATATACATAGTAGAGCCTGGCGAATTAATTAATCGATCGGTCGAAACTTTAACTAAAGAGCACTTGCGCGTAAATTAATCGATTAATTAATTAGCTTGATAGTACTATTGGTTCAATTTGCCCGCGAGAAGAGGATGACTGTATAAGTACAGAGTTCTACTGTTATAGACTAAATTCTACTGTATAAGTATTAAATGATAATTAGTTACTAAAATTTCGATCTTTTTCCTTTCTTCAGTTATTTATGTTCCGTTTATAAAATATTCCAATGTACAAAATGGTGATAATTAGTTCGTCATACTAAAATTGCACTGTTCTAATTCTTCTCTCTTTTAAAGAATATTCCACTGTAGAACATATCGAAAATTAGCTTTGAATATTATTGTTCTTTTCGTTTTTTTTTGCAATTACTTATTCTTCCTGTTAAATAATATTCCAAGGTACAAGACTTTTTTTCGATTCCTTATAGAATATGTAGTTTCTATTAAATAATTTGATAAAAATTTGAGATAGAAATTTATTACTTCGAAGTGCAAAATAATTTTTTTAAATAAAGGAAAATACAAATTTATATATTTATTCATAGAATATCTTTGGAATTTATGGATATTTCGTATTTATGATTACACTGCAAGGCGTAGATGCCAGGAAAATAAGATGGTCGTCCACCGAAGTTGACGAAAGACGAAACCGCAAAGAAACAGGAAAATTAGTGAGGCAGAAACGACTTTTGAAAACCGCGAATCTTCGAACCGGTAACGGGCGCTGATATCTTTGAATACAGGATAAAATGAAGGTAATAAAACAACAGCTAGAATAATATTGGTTCCTCGTGTTGAATGGAAGAAAATGTCTGTATACTTTAAAAATTGGAAGAAATTCATACGAAAAAATTTAGTAAAATATAACAGACGTAATAAAATTCTCTAAGAAAAAAAAAAAATTTCTTCCATTCATATAACCTTCAATTCTATAGTCATGCAAATATAATCACTACTAGACAATGGATGCCAATTCACATTTTTACAATTGAATTTATATAACATGTTTATTACTTTTGATCATCACCCTCAATATTTCCTTCCCATTTATAGTACCACCAAAACAAAAAATTGTTTATAATTTTCAGAATATAACTTTCTTGACCCATGTTTACTAGGACTTTTTTGATCATTTGGTGAGTACTGTCTATCCTAGAAGTTATAAACCCTTTTATGTATCACCCTCTATATTTACTTCCTATAGGTATACATATAGTATCTACCACTAAAACAAAAAATTGTTTATAACTTTCAAAATATTCATTTTTCGACCCATGTTTACTAGGACTTTTTTTATCATTTGGCGAGTACTATCCACCCTAAAGGTCACGAACCCGTTTATTTATCACCCTGTATATTTCCTTATTATTTATAGTAAATTCGAGCAACGGGGGTCATGAAAGAAATACATATACATAATTTTTCTACCACACTAATTTATTTCAGTGAAAGCTCAAAGTGTCGACGTGACTATATTACGTTACATACTCGATCTAATAGTATTATTGTGAAAGGTAATTTAAGTACCGTAACTAATATAATGTAACTTCGCGCCCCGTCGTTCAGCCGGTCGAGCTCTGCCTCTTCAGCTTCACTTTGTCGCGAAACGAGAAACGTTCTCGACGCACACGCAAAGTCGAGCAAACTTTTCTGACGCGGAACGTCTCGCCCGCGCCGATTACAAAGGCTCCCCGTTCGGCACGGCGACGATGAGCGATGTAATAAGCTTACGGCTCTTACCCGACGGCATCATCGGCTTACACGCGCGAACGAAAGCCTGCAAGCTCTCGATTTTGTCCTCGCGAAATCCGCGCGTGTCGAAACGCCCGTCAAGCTCGACGGATCTTGCGAAGTTTCACTCGGCTTCAGAGAACAAATATTTGAGTTTTTGGGAAGTATTAATGGTGCGAGTCAAATTTCGATGAAATCTCGTTAACCCTCTATAGCCCCGTATGATTTTCAAGTTACATACTGATATATCGATATATTTTTAATAATAAAATCGTGTTCTATGACCTCTCGTAATAATAAAATCTCTGAAAATTGTAAATTTATTGTTAATTCGTATTTAGAGGTTGATATATTTTGTTGGTTTCACGTAACATACATTTTTTTCTAGTGTGAACAAAATTCGAGCAATAGAGGGTCAACATCATAGTAAAATCGACCTAACCTCATTCTATCTTATGTATAAATAGTCTACACTTCCGTCCATAAATCACCGAACACTCGTGCAACTGAACGTAAAATAAGAAAGATTTAGAGTTAAAAAGTTATTTCAATTATTCTTATTAATTCTTATTAATTTTCCACGTTGTAGAGAAAAAGTAAATTACATATAGTGTTGTGGACAATCATTTTAATAAGAAAAATCTCACGAATATGCTCGTTAAAGTTTCGTTAACAAAAAACCAAAAACAAAACGGTTTCATCGTTGCATTAGTATTGTGTCACTCGATACCCGGGCATGTATTCTTTTCTTGATCTCCCCTCGTTCAGCCGGCTGTTCGTGAAAGGGACGCCGTGATTCCACGGCCCCCTTCTTCAGTGGTGGGGATGACGACTTCACACTTATCGTGGCCCAGCCGGCTCACACTCATCGAGCCATTTCTGTAATTTATCGGAACCGCCATTAGAGCGGCCATTTGCTAAGAACGTATCGGTACCAAGTCAAACAACGTGGAGAGCCAATGGTGGTTGCTATTTTAGCCCAGCGGAACTGTAAATATTTGTTTAATGGAAAATTGATTAATAACGCATTAAACTCGAAATAGTGTATAATTAATACTTAGCGGCGTCATCGTCGGTATCTCGAATGTCAATATTGATTT